ATCAATGACTGTGGCATTCTCGCCGAGTCCTCTTGGAGCGTCTTGGGTGTCTCCGGGGGGTCTCTTGGGGCCGCGTGGGGGTCTCTTGGGAGCCTCTTGGGGGCATCCTGGGGGCCTCTTGGGGGCTTCGTGGGGCCACGTGGGGCCATCGTGGGGCCATCTCGGGGCTTCTTGGGGCCTCCTGGGCTCCTCTTGGGGCTATCTTGGAGGAGATCGATCGCAGGAGGGGGGGGCTCAATTTGGCAGCATCTTCAGCAGTCGTCTGTGGATGGGCAGCTACTGGGGGCGAATCCGCCGCCGCCGCCGCCGCAGCCGCCTCCGCCGCCGCCGCCGCCGCCGCCAAGTGTAACCTGTATGGTTTTTTGACAGAGATGGTGGGGGGAGGCCGCATCGGGTTCGCTGCGCATGCTTCGAATTTGGAGCCCGAATGTGTGTTTGCATGGTTGTTTTTACAGGGGATGGTGGGGGGGGTGCCCGCATTGTTCCTGGTTGGCTCCAGTCGCCTGGGGGACGAGGTGTGTATTAATAGGGAACAGTGATAAACCCCTCCCCGAAGGGGAAGAGGAAACTCACTAAACCACCTACACCCAGAAGGCTGGTGGGACTTTCGTGAAGTTCAAGTTGGATCCGATTTACGTGAAGGTCTTGAAGATGATGTTCAATTGGGCGAAGACTTGGTGGGCGTTCAAGTCAGACGACGGCGCCGCACTCCCTTATGACTACATGAATTGACGCCCAGCCGCCACGTGGGAAAAACAAACGAGGACTTTGTGCGAGGAGTGGGATTACAACAACCTTACAGGATGGAGACACCAGCATAGCGGCAGGAGACAACAATGGGAGGGCGGCCTGAACAGTTCATCGCCGCATTTGAAACGGTGCCTTGAGGACAGCCCGGGCGCTTGGCACACTTACTGGAAACAATTCTTGAATGAAGACACTTTGGAATGCAACTTGAAGACCGAGGGCCCCGCTGGTTTCGAGCAGATTCCCAGACCATGCAATTCCGCGTATGGACGGAAGAAAAGAATGTGTTCTGATCTGGAACCGGCGCGTGGCGGTTTCTTAGCCTACGACCAATGGGCCTTAACGGATTCTTTTGGCGGGGATCTTTACAAAACGGTTTCGACATATTGTTTGTGAGAGAAACCTTGCACCTTCGAGTTCTAGCTGACACCGAGACACTCGTAAACATAGTTTCGGCAGTGCAGCGGCTGGAGACGCACGAGAGGACGTAATAGCCCACGTGATCGGTAACATTTCAGATGTGATGGTTGGGTAAAATTTGGGTCCAAGGTACATCGGCAGCAACCCCATGAACGGATTAAGAATGGAATCCAACACAGAGGCCGATTATGTTGCCAACCTCTGCATGGACGTACTAGAGGACCTCGAGTATGTCAACACGGAATTCTGAACTTTTACATGGAAGCACTGACATACAGTGTTGGCGCGACGGGGGGCACCGCCGATAACGCGGAATCTCCAGCTTCGCGTGGGTAAGCAAAGGGTGGGTCAATGATCACGGACCGCGTATTTTTGCAGTTGGAGGTGCATTTCAATTTTACCATGCGAGCAACAGTTTAGGGATATAATCACAAAAATTCGACCAAGTTGCGGATGAATGCTTGGGAAGCATTATCAATGCTATCAGTATTTTCCAGAGGCGTTTATCCAGTCGCAGTAACAAGCGCGCCAAGGTGTTCGAAGCTTTGGTCAAGGAGTGAGGTGGCAGGTCCCAGGGCCGGTTCGGTGATATTGACCTCGATGCCGATTGAAACAGAAAACAGGGACAAAGGAAGAGGAGGATGGGAAACAGTTATCAAGCATGGGCAGGCGGGCAAGCCTGGGGAGCTGAAAGGAGCTCGAGCATGATGCCGAGGAGGCTCGCGACGACCCAGGGCGCCTGCGGCCGCGGCGGCGGCGCCGCGCGCCGCGGCTCCTCAGCCTCCCTTTGATGGCGCTGCGGGGCTCGCGGGGCATCCCCAGCTGCCTGCCGCCGTCGAGGCGAACGCGTGCAACGCCCGTCGTTGAAAGTAGGTAATTTGTCGGTAGCAAATCATGGGAGCCTTGTGTACCACCGCAAGTCCGTCTTTAGCGTCGATTAGCGTCGACTAGCGTCTGGGATGGGATGAGAGGCGCCAGTGTAGCGTTGGGTAGCGTCGATTCGCGTCGATTTAGCATCGATTTAGCGTCGACTAGCGTCGACCCGCAAGATCAAGCAAGATGGTATGGGAGGCTCCCGTAAGTTGTCACCGACTACTTGTGGATCCCACTCTATTTTCGCCGCCCAGAGTCGAGCCAGTTTTTCCTCTTTCCTCTCCTCTTCAATGGGTGGGCGGAAACCCAATCAACTTCCAGCGCCTTCCTGCGTCATGTTTCTACCCGCGTCTCCCGCCTGACGGGTGCGATGCCATCGCCTGCGCCGATGGCGTTGCCAGCGTGCCCAGCGTCAGAGCCCGTTGCGGGGCGCCCACGGTCGCCCGCCCGCGGCCCTGCCTGGTACGTGGCCTCCGCCTCCCGCCGCAGGTGATCGGCCCGGGCATCGTCGAGCATGATGTCTGCAGCCGCGCTGCTCGGCCGCAGCCGCGCCCGCGCCAAAACCCACCGCCTCGGCAAGCCTTCCGCTCGGTGCGTCGGCAGACGCTTCGCCGCCGCCCATCGTCTTCTGGGCCGGGTCGGGCTGCGAGGTGTCGCCGCCGCCATTAGCAGGGGCCCTCCAGGGGGGCCCCAGCGTCTCCCGCGCCGCCGTGTCTGTGATGCTCGACGCGCCTCCGAGGAGCCGCCGCGCCCACTGCCGACGCGGGCGCGGTCATCGCTGGCAGTGCGCCCAGCGTGGCGACTGCGGCCTTCACGAGCCCCTCCGCATCTCGTGGAGGCCGAGTGCCTTTGCGAGAGCCCCGATGCGGCGAGGCGCCGCGCGCGGCCCCTCTTCAGTTTCAGGGCGGCGCGGCTCCCGTGCAGCGTGCTGGGTATCGGCCCAGCGGCGGCGCGCCCGCGGCCAGAGCCCGGGGCGCCCAACGACGCGGAGTCTGAAACAAGACGTCTGTTTGAAGGAGGAGGAGGAGGAGGAGGGAAGGGAGGGGGAGGTTCAGGGAGGAGGGGAGAGATGGGGGCGAGATGCGGATAAGAGAAGCCAGGTGCGCTCGCGCCATGTCCGACATCCTACCCCCTCCCACCAACCCTTCCCACGGCGTTGATGGTTTCTCGATCCGCCGACTAGTGCCATAGTGGACCTGGGACCTCCAAAAGGTCACCATCGTGTCATGTGCAATCAGAAAAGGATAGCTATGCACATTGGAGGGAGGAGGTGGGGGAGGAGGAGGAGGTGGGTGGAGGAGGAGGAGGTGGGGGTGCAGGAGGATGAGGGGAAGGAGAATATAGGGGAGGAGGAGAAGGAGAAGGATGAGGAGGAGGAGGGAAGGGAGGGGGAGGTTCAGGGATGAGGGGAGAGATGGGGGCGAGATGCGGACAAGAGAAGCCAGGTGCACTCGCGCCATGTCCGACATCCTACCCCCTCCCACCAACCCTTCCCACGGCGCTGATGGTTTCTCGATCCGCCGACTAGTGCCATAGTAGACCTGGAACCTCCAAAAGGTCACCATCGTGTCATGTGCAATCAGAAAAGGATAGCTATGTACA